CCAAAGCTGGCTAAATTATATTAGACATAAAAAGTATAAAAATAAGATGACGATATAAAAATAGGGTAATCAAGGAGAATAGGCACTGCGCACTAAAAAGGCTATCTACCTTGAGAGTGTCACGAAACAAAAGAGTGACCACGCAGGAGGTTTGCAGTTACAACGCACGATTGACGGATCAACCTGCGTCATTGTTAAACTTGAGCCAAATATACACGTCTCTTTTGAGGAGAAACCATTCTCCAACGTAGTACGGTGTAGACAGAACAGAAGCGACAGACTCGCCGTATTTCACCGTAACAATATAATCCCATTAGCAAGATCGATGTGTTGGAAATAATTTGTGAAATAGAGATTTTGATCCTGTCTTAAGATCTTAAATGGAAGCAAGTAGTAGTGACTGATGTTTTCGTTACCAATAAATCTGAACTTGAATACTTGAATCTGTACTAATATTGGGTCAACTATAGTTTCAGGAAAATGCAATAAAACTAAACTTTCCAAATAAAACTTTTATGTTGCTTAATAAAACTAGTTGCAAGCTTAAGTGTAATTAAAAATATTTAAAAAATTTATAATATATATGTTTAAAATTTTATACCATATTATATTGTAAGTTATTGTATATTTCATAATACAATAGATATTAATTATTTATCACAATAGCAAATTTTCATATTACATGAATTCGTGCATATATTTTTTAGCTAGATTCTGTAATACATTTGCTGAAATCTCACCTTCTCATAATCATCACTCGAAGCCAGATAATTATAGTTAACAATATATCTTTGACCAGATGTTCATATTTTTTTTTGAACCTGTAAGAAAAAAGGCAGTAATTATATACTAATTGTTTCAGGTAATAAGCATGTAACATCTGATCTTAATTTTCTAATCATTTATATATGTAGAAATAAAAACTATATTAGAGAGATATATGAAATAAGTAGCAAATATATAATGAGATATAGCAGAGTATTGCAAAGCAGGCTGATAGGTGATAAATCAGAGATTCGAGGCTCTGTCTTTTCTTCGAATCATGGCCTAGAGAGTCCACAAGATAGGTTAAGTGAATATGGTATAAATTATATCATTAACAATATTAAACATCAGAAGCATGGTTACGGTTTGCAAAATATTGTCTATCAAAGTACTGTATGTATGCAAGTATTTATTAAAACTAGGATATGAAATAAATCGTTAACTGCGTCTGATAATAGTTGAAGTCCTCGCATCAATTTATTTACGCAACTCCGATGGTCCTGGGAATGGTTGGATGCTTGCCGTAACATAAGGTTCTATATTGCTATCCGTCAAACAACCAAATTGTTCTACCAGGTTATTGATAAACTGGCTACTCTGATGACTGACATGTTTGCGAGTGTGCTCATAATAATCATCCACCACAGATTGCGCAACTCTCACAGATTCTGAATTGTCCAGATCAAAGAAGTCAACCATGCATAGCTAACTGTGTTCAATGAAGATTCCTTCAAATTTCAATAAAACAATCAAATATTCGTACCCACTATGTCAGTGATTTAAAGAAAATGCACGAAAACTCTGGATCGAGCACTGAAACATCTCGGTCATTCTCACATGTAATGACAACGCACTCACGAATTTGCGCCATTAATGTAACGAACCCCGGATCGAACACTGAACCATTATCATGCAATGACAAAGACTACTATTAAACTCACAAATTTGCGTCATTAATGTGACGATAATCTAGTACATGTCACGACGATATATTTACAATATAAACTTGTAATTATTATTGTTATTGTTAAAAATCTTGTCTAAATCAACCTTAAAGTCTTATGTGATCCAGAAAAATTGATGACGTATCAAGCTTCCATTATTAAGCTCTCTCCATATTTAGCTTAGCATTCTATCTTCTGTTTCGCACGCAGTAACGTAAGCAGGTGAGAATAATTCCTCTGGTAAAAAAATTCTTATATTGGAGTCAACGCATTTAAAGACTACCTCTGTAAGTAAAGCCCGAGATTTTTCTATCCAGCTAACATTTAGTGATGTTTGAAATTTATACTGAATCCTCTTCATCTTCAATATACTCTATAAAAAAATAACGCATTCAGGAAGGCATGGAGGCAACTGATGAAGAAAAGAGATGGTGGTTTGAAGGAATTCGTCCGTATATTAACAGTGAAAGGTAGTTAATGGATAGTCACTATATTTGTTTCCATTTGCTAAGGTTGACTTTTCTTATTAGACTTCCTCTGGTCCTGGCAAGAGATGTACCATTCAAGGAGTTTGCCAAAAAATCCGAAAATGCCAAAGCTGGAAGATTCTGGGACTATGACAAGGGCACTGTGATGATTATCGAGTTGCCATCTGGTGATCATGAAAGTGCAATTGGTGAATTTAGTCGTCATTTCCTAAATCATTTCAATAACGTAGCATCTCAAGATGATATTAGAACCTGGGGAGCGAAAGGTAAGGTCAAGTAATTTAGTTAGTGCATGTATCTTATTATGCCGAACTTAATTCTGTTGCATTCAGATTTATACAACCTGGCGACAGGTGAATATAAAGATCCCGATGCCTGTTTTGTGCCTCGACGTCTGTTAAATCTGCCAAACCCGGTTCTTAATCCATGCGACAATGTTGTATGTAGTTTGAATATCGTTGCTTGGATACGAAAATGTGTTTGATGTTAATTTATAAATTTAGGGGAATCCGTGGCCAACTATTATCCTCGAGGTTGCTTCCTCTGAAACACTTGATCATGTAAAGAACAAGGTCAATAACTTCTGGCTAATCCCAAACCGTTGCGAAGATGTGATTGTTATCAAGTTAGGCAATTGGAATAATAAGCGCCGTGATCGGAATGGACACCCTTTGCATCGTTTGCGGGTTCAATATTGTTCTGTGATCTTTGCGATTTTTCTCGTTCTTTTCATTCGCCTCATCACTCTTGTGTTTCGATAGTGCCTAAGATTCTGTCGACGCGCAATCCTTCAACAAAACCAAAACGCAACGACATTTCATCCAATCCAAGATGTAAATATCATGGAATTTTCCAATTGACGTATTTTTTACTTATTACTCACATATTTAACACGATAGATCGAGTTCGGGTCTGTCCACGCCAACGGAAGGGCTGGTAATTTTTGCTCGGGCCCACGAATAAAATGGCTTACAATAGACTGTGATTGCATCTATGCAGGATGTGTTCCTCCTCTTCCTCCTCTTCAGGTCCTTCCTCAAACCTCGGCTCCTGGAGTTTCTATCGATTTGTATTATATACAACAGGCAGTTTTTGATGCTATGGGCAAGAATTGATGGAGGACAGTGAGGCTATGTGCTGCTGATTGTGCACTGTTTGAATTCATTAGATGAGTGTTATAAATGCAATTCTATAAAATGTCAAGCAATCCGAATACAAAATGTGTCTGCCATTTCAAAGTTAATTCTCTAATAATCGTAACATAAAATTTGGACGTAACTAAAGAACGAGATTTATCACATAACGAACTGTACTGTTTGAATAGTCTCTCCCTAAAAGGCCTATCTTATGTATCATTGTGAACCAATTTAGTGATTTCGCGTATATCAATGCTCGATCACAACCCATCACAGGAAGCTGATAATGTACTTATGTATAGTCGTGATTATTTTTTTTCTTGGCAAAAGTGATCGGCGTGAAGAATTCTTCACGCACACGCAATTTTATCAAACTATTAAACATATCCGTATCTTATGTAAAACAATGGGAAATCCACAATCCACAATCGATTCATTGAGAGAATTAAATTCTGATCTCATTCACCAGATTGCTGAACTTAGGAAGGAGAATGCCTATATAAAGGCCGAAAATATAAAATTAAAACAAGATAAGGAAGAAATTGAGATCAGATTTGTAAAGTTAGAACAGATCGCAAAAGAAAATGCCGAGAATGCAAAGTTGAGAGATGGTGAGCTCAATGACAGAATCGTGGAACTAGAACAGTCGGCGAAAGAAAGTGAAAATCGATTTATGTAATTGGAACAGAAGAAAACCCAGGTTATCACTAATGAACGGGAAGTATCCCCCGCAAAAAATATTTCACCACCTATCGAAGATCAGTCTGATAAAGATAATGGTATTACTCTCGATCCCATGTCCGAACATAACTCGACCCAGACCCAAAGGAACGAATCTAAATCTCTAACTGATACTGAGTCGTCTATCACTTCTTTGCCACAAGATATTATTGATGCTGATTCAGCTGAGACTCTAGATTTTGTAGAAAGGAAATATAAAGAATGTGTTAGTGAAGAGGTAATGGAGAGAATTAGGGAAAAGAAACTTCGGGATCAAAACTTATCTTCGGATAATAGTTCATCGGATCAATCTAATTTATCATGTGATGTATTGCGAGAACAGAAAAATAACCAATCAAAATCTCATAATGCATTTTCTGACTTGCTCCAAAATCCCATCTCACAGAGTAAAGATGACCTTGCATCTAAATTAGATCAATTAAAGATAAAGTCTCCTTGTCCCGAGCCCAAATTATCTACTGATCAAGCACAAAATGACACCCCTGAAGTAAGTGGTATCCCGTCCCAAATAGAAGAAGCTAGTACATTAGTGGTAAAAATTCCCTATAATCAGAAAGTAGAACAAGGTTTATTACATGAGTTATTTGAATTTATTAGGGGCACCGATTCCATGTCCTTACAAAATCTAAAGAAAACTTCATTGAATTCTATCTTCATTAAACAAATTTCGGACGTTCCTATTGATATAGATCTAACTCCAGGTTCTGTATCTCATTTAGCTCATTTATTTGGCAAGGCCGAGAAAACTGGACGAAAAGAAAAATTGCGATGGTATTATTATAGTGAGGGATATGAAAAAAAAGTTTCGAATCTTAGTACAGAAAAAAATATTAGTGATCAAATGGCGAGAACGCAAATCTATAATGAAATAATGCAGTATCTACCTGGAATCAAGAGAGAGTATTGCGTAAGATGACTCAAAAGGCTAGAACAATAAAAGATATGTAAACTTTTGCACAAGCAAGAAATGAAGATTGTATTTCAGATAAATATTATAATACACATACAAAATTAGAATGGCGTTGTAACAAAGGACATACATGGATGGCTCAGCCTAATAATATTATTAAAGGAAGATGGTGTCCTTATTGCTTTTATAAACTTGAAAATTTATGTCATGAAATTGTTACTAAATATTTAGGTCCACCTTCTCATACCTGCAAACCAGATTTCTTAAAAACCTCTGAATACCCACGTGAATTAGAGCTTGATATTCCCTACTATAATTATGGTTTTGTGATAGAAGTACAGGAGGAGCATCATGAAAAATATAATAAATTTTTTGATAAAGGTAACATTAGAAACTTTATTGAATGACAAAAGCAAGATCAGTTTAAAAAAAAACTTTGTGATGAAAACGATATTTATTTATTTTATATTTGGTATAATTATAAAAATCCATATGAAACTATTCGACAAGAACTATAGGCATTAGGATTTATCAATTAATTTTGTATTAGTTCTTTTATTAATATATTAATATTCAATAGAATTTTCTATTTATTTTTTTCTTGTTCTGACTATCAAGAGGTGGCGAGTAAGATGTATTTATATTAATGTATTAATAAATAATGAGAAAAAAAAATGCCTGTTTACCCAATGGATATGTCTCGTTTTATTCATCTAATTTCAAAGAAGTGTTCCAACTAAGTCTAACTGCTAGAGAATCATCTACTGCCTTAGTAAAAACAAAAACCACAAATTTTCAATTTTGTAAAAGTTTATTACTTATTTTGAATGCTTTTTTTGGATTATCTGTATATTGCCACACGATTCTATGAATATCATCTCAGTTCCCAGCTCCTCGAAACAATGCAAGATGGCTTAGATTTTCACAAATAATTTTAGGTATTTGTGTATATTTCTGTGACACATATATTGGTGATATATATTGGTGCCAGCCACTAATGAAGTAAAGAATAATTTATGTATTTTTTTTGATTCAGCACATAGATCCTTGAATACAACAATTGTACTTTGATCTAGTGAGAATTTGGTTATATCTGAAATTTTGTCTGGAGATACCCTTTTAAATGTGATATCTTCTTGATATAGTTTAGGTGCATTCACAAAGATCTAAAAGCTATTTTGTACAAGTTGCCATTTAGGCTCAAAATGCTTACCTATTAATAGAAGATTATTATTTTTGATATAACAATCTCCTTTCTTACCTTTAAACATTTGCTGTAATTTATTACCTAGCATAAGATTAATTATCATATTGGTTTTTCTGCTATTGGATCCTCCACATACCAGTAATCTAAATGGAGCATCTGGATTAAATTTATTGCCTTTTATTTGTTCTGAGGATTTGTTAGATGTCTTGTTAATATTGTATACAAATAGGGACATTTTTTTTTCTTTCATCCTGATTAAGCTAAGCAATACTATTATTATATCAAAAAATAATAATCCAGTTAGCTCTGTTATAATTATATATCTGACTCACTATTCATATCTGAATACCAGCTAATAATATTGAAAGTGAGTTTTTTATTTTGCAAGGTTATAATTATATTTGTGTTGATTTTTCACAACCCTCAATATTAAGTTTTTGAAGATTGCGTAAATTTGCTAATGCGGTCATAGATATATCACTAATATCACAACATTCAAGTTGAAGTCCTTCAAAATTAGAACAAAAGCTATACTATTTTACAAACAGACTTGTCAAATACAAGTTCACACCTATTAAGATTGAGATATTTAAGTTCTGAGTTAGATTGTGTAATTTTTTTAATTGATACAATTCTTCAACTCATATTTTTGCATATTTGGACATGCTAAAGCAATTGCATATATCACATAATCAGTTATTTTAAAACAATCAAATAAGCTTAGAGTAAGAAGTTTCGAATATGATTCAATAATCTCGATTATAGATACATCAGTAATATTCTTATTATGATTTAATTTCAGGTGGCGCAAATTAATATATAAGTGAGCAACTACTTTTAAAGATATATCAGTTATTTCAGAAGCACTAAGACTTAGATACTGTGAATTTGAGCTCAAATAAGCATTTTATACAAAGTTATATCTTTCATATTTCGGTACTTGCCAAATTATTTTATATTTTTTATATTACATAATACATTAAAAGATTTCAAATGACAAATTTGTGCGATTTTACTAATAACTCTATTAGATAGACCACAATACCTTTTGATCTTTAAATAACATAAATTAAGACAGAATCCAGTGATATTATATAATATACCATTAGAGACTATGCAACTAGAGATATGAAGTTATAGTAAATATGAAGTATGAGGTTTTTGATCCCCATATATTACTTTTTTAAATTTATTTCATTACATACATGATTTTTTTAGATCGTCAGCAAATTCAACTCTTTTCCATAATATAGGAGCAGAGTGAAAATACCATAATCGATTGACAAATAAGCTTAGATATAGAGCTCCATCTGTATCAAAATGATAAAATATATTAGTTAAAATCTCAAGCAAGTTTAGTGGATGTATTTTATCATATGTCATACTTACAAAGTTATTTTTTATCCTGTAAATAACCTTTCTTAGTTAAAATGTTTCAAATAAATTTATATAAATCTGCATTATATAGTATTTTAATAAAATCTATACCTTACTCTTTGCATATATCCCACTTTTTTTGATCACACGATCTTTGATTATCTAGATCATTTTGATTTTTGTGGTATAAACTATTGCAATGATAATGTTGAACTCTGTTATATTTCCATGCCAATTTTAATTCTTTATTATATCTATCTAATTGCATTTTATTCAAAAATGATGGTTTACAAGATAGAAATTTCTTATCTAACAGATCTTCAAAAATATATCTATAGTGATACTCATCAGTGTAATGGAAGCAAAGTGAACACCATTCAAATTTTGTAGCTATTAATGAATATGGATATTCTCACTAATATTTTTCATTTTTACAGATCCAAAAATATATATCGTAATTATTTATTTGATTAGTTTTACCAAGATACTCCCCACCACGCTTCTCAATATATTGTTGAGCCTTGATTATTTTATTAATAATACGAACAAAATTAACAGATCTGGAGTAAGTATTTTCTTTCAATATACTCTAGGGTGGATACTGAAGTTTTTTTAGATCTACACGTATTAGCTCTTCAAATACAAATCCTTGCTTTGGTGTAAACTTATCACCTTCTAAGTAATATAAAATAGACTCATTTTTCATTACAACAATTTTTTCAATTTTAAATAAAGTTGGACTCCATATTACGTTCATAGTCCTTTTTTGATTCTCCATATCTCTTTCCTATTCTGCATTAGCAAGCAAATAGCAAACTATATCACTTTTCTTTAACCTATTATTCTTATTTTTTCCAACAGAATGCTTATACTTTGTAGATGGTCTAGATTCTACTCATTCCAGTTTAATAGCTTTTGCTGATCTAAACCCCATTTTGATGAACTTAAAGCTCGAATGAGATGTGTCACTTAATTATCAAGATAATCTATTACTTCTGGCAAATTACTTGACCCATTCTCTTATTAATTTAGAATTTTTAGATATTGATTCAATGACATACTGGATTTTGTACAGCATTTCTGCTAATGTTTTACAAAACCTATTTATGATTGCAAAACCTCAATAACTATATGTGCTAATTAATCTAATCATTACATTATGTTCTTCCATTATTTTATTTGTCTTGCTTATAAATTCACGCCCTTGATCATATTGTAGAAGTATTGGCCATACAAATGGATTTGATGAATTATTATAAATTTTTTTGAAGGCTTTGGTAACCTCTGAGCTATTTTTTGATGTAAGAGAAACAGTACATTTAAAATGTGATGCAATGTCTATGACAGTAAATGTCTATTTATATGTTTTTTTATTAATGGTATCATTTGTAAGGTATAACAAATCACACATATGTATATAATTTAGACATGAAATTTTTTCATAACTTACCTGTGAAGTATTTTTCAGTGACAAAGCATACTTTTGCCATTCATTCTGATTATACAACCATTCATGAACTTTTTTATATAAGAAATTATATCCTTTATTTCTGACAGTATTATACAATTTTCGAGTATTGAAATGATAGCCTGTAGGTCAGTAAAAAAGCAATTTACAGATTAAGTTTAATTCCTCATTTGGATTTATAATAATACTAGATTCCATATTAAATTTAAGTATATAAAAATAAAAATGTCTTGATTAAAATATTTTTTAGAAATTGTATATATGATAGCAATACAAAAAGGTGGAGAGCATATTTTTACAGACTATAAAAATCCTATAACTCATCTTTGGTAAAGATGCAATAAAGGTCATGAATGGCAAGCATCTTTAAATAAAGTAAAAGATAAAAATACATGATGTTTGCATTGTAGAAAAATTACAATTGAAGATATGCAACAGATTGCAAAAGAAAGAGAAGAGCAATGTTTATTGACCATATATTGATTCACATTGTTATACATGATTTTCACCCAAGATCATCACTACCCCTTGCCCGATTTTTACTAGCATTTACCCTTGAAATGTTACCTATTCTAGAATAATTCTTGTATTACTATCCTTGTTATTGTTTAGCATTGTACTTTTTGTGCTATTGTTGCTTTAGAATATTTTCTATTTTATTTATTTCTCTTTATTATTGTATTTTCGCCAGAGCATTTGTTTCTATGCTAACACATACAGATAACTGTTCTG